AGAGCCACATGTCCTTTTCTCTCTAGGAGGGGGGGGGGGGGGGATGATGATGTGGTGTTTCGGTTTCGATTTCACGATTGCCAGATTCGGTTTCATGAAAAGTATTTTCACCCTCAGGGGGCGTTACCCTGTGTATATATCCGCAGCATTGTACATAATAAAGGAGTTCCTGCTTGGCTATCGGCTGCTGCATACTCCTTGTCGGCCGGCGTTTCAGCGCCGTGCCTTATGTTCTCCGTGCGGCGCATCCGCCGCCCGATGGTACAAGCAACATATTTACTTTTTCATGCTTTATTGGGCCGACACTATCCCTTAGAGGATAGCCTGTATCCATGCTTTCCGCGTGCCTTGGTCAGTCGGAAATTCAAATACATACACTCGCGACCCAGATTCATGGTCTCCACAGAAATGTGGACATATAACTTCCTTGGCACTGCAGCTGCTCACAACCTGGTCACTCACTAAAGAACACGAGCACAACCACAAGCAGCACACATCACAACTCCGAAGAGCCCGACGGCACACCAAGAACGATGCAACATTAGTTGTTTCTCCTCGAAGCGCAGTAATGCTGCATGAACTGCAATGCCGATGCGAATGCGCCGCCGAATGCTGGCGTCAGTTGCGTTGTGTGCCACCCAGCGCACAACGCAACCAGCGTCGTCAGCCCGTTGACATATGCGATAGAGCTAGCAGGCCTTGACGAAGTTTCTTCAGGTGTAGGTAGCTCAACGCGCCAACTTCACACATACTCACGCACACGCACTGATTTCACTTCCGCGCTGCCTGCACTATCCAAAGAAAACTCCATCGGGGCACGCTTGCCTCGCACACACGACATGAAAAGGCACAGTGGCGCTGCGACAAATCCTAGCGGCCGTCCGTGTCGTTTTGAACCGCCGAGACAGCAGCGGCGGCTTGCCGGTCGTGCCACTAGATCATATTCTAGTTCACTATAGTCTTGTCCATGGAGTTTCATACAATAATACATAGAGATTAATCTGGCGCTGTGATCATGTACCCCCATGGGAATTATGGGAAGTACAGGCTTCATATTGCACAGTGTTAGCTAGCAAACTGCCTACAAATCTTTTTCTAGTTTCAGTTTCGTTCTTCACGCAGTGCGACTAGTGGGGGACGGTGAAAAACGCTGAAGCAGAACGTATGTTGTTTGAAGAGGCTAAAGACAACTAGTTCTCTTGATTTGCTGCGACGTTGGAGCCTTACGAGTCGTATTTGGCAGTTTTAACGAAGCGTCGTCCACTCACCGCTGCGCATAGATGTAGCGTCTCATGCCAGTGCAGGATATTCGATCGAGTTCATGCTTTTTCACGAGCGCACCCTGCCTAAACTAATTAGAAACAACTGCAAAATGACAGTAAAACAAAATAGACGCATCGTCACGCTCCCCTGACTTCACAACAAAACGAGAGGTACGTTTGGGGCAGAGTCTCGGCCGACCACTTGGACAGACGCACCTGGCTCGCAGCAGAGGAAAGGTTGAGTGTTTGTCACTTAATACTGTACCGTTATTCATTAAATAGATAATGTGTACTGTCAAGGGCAAAACAAGCATGTTTGTTTTTGAGTGTTGTAAAAAACTAATTTATTATATCTTGACGCTAAATTTGGAACGCAATGACAGAGCAATGCATACCCCAGTGGCTAAATTTGTTCAGGTTTCACTTCTGCCTCGTGGTCACGGAAACATTTAGCAACAAGATTTTCAAATAAATATAACTTCATATCACATGGTTTTACGTTTGGCAAACAAGCGTGGCGAATCTGAAAAACGTAATCCATTCAAAGCAGATCCAAAGTTTGTACTCCATATCATTCCCATGAAGGTACACGTGCCTCCGAAGGAGTAGTAGATTAGCGCCAGATTACCGTCTAGGTATTACTGTATGAGACTCTATGGTCGTGTCGAACGACCCAATTCTTCCCAATCCGGCCACGCTTCGGGCCGTGGTTGAATTTTTCAAACCTGCATATGTCAGTCAAACTGAGACGTTTCGTGTGCCTGTTTTCGTACTTTCTATGATTCATACGAAACTTAGCCACGGTCATATCACTGCTGACGAAGCTTCTTCGAAGCAACGGGTCCCTCAATTCGTTGTCATCTGAGTGTGACGATGCGTTCACGACGCTCTGCCATTTGTTGACGTCTCCTCTTATACTACGCCACCACGACGTTACGTTCCCAATGAAGGTAGGCGCACATAGACATTAGTGGTGGAGGGCTCGGCGCTGTCCTGGCGCAGTGCCAACCCAGACTCCGGATATGTCGTGGCATATGCAAGTCGTATACGCTCACGAGAGCCGAGACAAATCACACCATTATGCGAAAAGAGTGTGATCGTCTGAGCCCTTACAAAGTTTTGACCTTATTTGCAAGGTCACCTATTTCATGTCGTCACCGATCATCATGCACGATGTTGGCTATCGTCATTCAAGGATCCCTCAGGCCGTCTCGCCCTCTGGGCTCTTCGATTTCAAGACTACGGCATTCGCATGCTGTACCACAACGGACGCAAGCATGTCGATGCCGACGCCCTCTCGGGCTGCCCTCTGCCTGACGAGAATGCCCCCTGCTTAGCATCTTCCATGCTGTTTCTGTAATCTATGCTCGCACCACTGCTACCTAACAGCGCAAGGATCATTGGATCGCCCCCCTGATCCAATTGCTCTCTGATCCGCCCGCAACGCCATCTACTCACGCCTTGCGTCGTCAAGCTCACCATTTCGCCATACGTGACGGCGGCCTCCTGCACCGACGCAATTATAACGCAGACAGCAGGCAGTGGCTACTCGTGATACCCCGCAGTCTGCGGTCCGAAATATGTGAGCCCGTTCTCTCTAATCCACAATGCGTGCACTCTGGGGTATCCAAAACTTACCACAGCATTCAACAACAGTATACTTCTGGCAAGGGATGTACCACTACGTGCTGAAGTTCGTTCGCTCCTACCTCGATTGCCAACACCACAAACCATCAACACACGGTCGTCAACCAGTCTACAACTGTTAACTTGCCCTGAACGCCGGTTTAGGTGCGTGGGTATCGATTTGTATAGACCACTTTCTCTGACGTCAGCCGGTAACCACTGGGCCATCGTCGTCGTAGACCATCTAACGCGATACGCCAAAACTGCTCCCTCCCTGCGGCTACTGCGCGCGATGTTGCCTCATTTCTGCTGCACTGATGCATACTGCGTCACGGTCCACCCCAGGAGCTTCTGTAATATGCTCGCATCATCGCTACCGAACAGTGCAAGGATCATTAGATCGCCCCCTCTGATCCGATTGCTCTCTGATCCGCCTGCAACACCATTTACTCACGCCTTGCGTCGTCTAGCTCACCATTTTGCCATGCGTGACGGCGGCCTCCTGCACCGACGCAATTACAACGCCGACGGCAGGCAATGGCTACTCGTGATACGCCACAGTCTGCAGTCTGAAATATGTGAGCCCGTTCTCTCTGATTCAGAATGCGCGCACTCTGGGGTATCCAAAACTTACCACAGCGTTCGACAACGCTATACTTCTGGCGAGGGATGTACCACTACGTGCTGAAGTTCGTTCGCTCCTACCTCGATTATCAATGCCACAAACCATCAACACACATGTCGTCAACCAGCCAACAACTGTTAACTTGCCCTGAACATCGGTTCGGGTGCGTGGGTATCGATTTGTATAAACCACTTACTCTGACGTCGGTTGGTAACTGCTGGGCCATTGTCGCCATAGACTATCTAACGCGATATGCTGAAACCGCTCCCTCCCTGCGGCTACTGCACGCGATATTGCCTCATTACTGCTGCACCGATGCATACTGCGCCACGGTCCATCCCAGGAGCTTCTAGAGATTGAGGCCACGTCTTCTAACCGGAAGTCGTCGAAGCCATTCTTACGAAGTGTCATTGTGTCCACAGCAAAACTACTCCGTTCTACCTGCAGACAAACGGCTTCACGGAACGCCTTAACCGCACACTCAGCGACATGCTTTCCATGTACGTCGCCGCTATAGACCATATTGGGACGCTATACTGACCTTCGTCACACACGCCTACAGCAATGCCCCCAGCTGGCTTTTCGCCCTTCTTATTACTGTAAGAAAGGCACCCGTCGCACATCATCGACACAATACTCTTGACACACCGGATCCACCTGAATGTGCGCCCATTTTTAACACAGCCAGGCTTGCTGAAGTGTGTCGCGAGCTTGCTCAGACCTTTACAACGAATCAACAAGAATGAAAGAAAAGTATTCGTGATGGCTCCATCACTTCTGAGCCTACGTCCCTCCCCGAGACCCTCATATGGCTGTCGGTTCCTACCTCTGTAGCTGGCTTCTATACAAAACTACTGGGCAATTAGACAAAACCAACTGGGCGATGAGAGACAGAAGAATTCAATTGGACACAAAGACCCACGGTCCGCTTTTAGTTTGCATGTACGCTGCGATTTTTCGACGTTCAACAACGCACAGAAGAAATCTCCCACCGGCACTACCCACCACGGTGGTCTAGTTGCCAAACCTGACCCACAGGTCGCGGGATTGAATTCCGGCCGCATTTTCGATGAAGTTGAAAATGTTTGAGGCCCATGTGCTGACATTTAGGTGCATGTTAAAGAACCCCAGGTGGTCAAATTTTCTGGAGCCATCCACTATGGCGTCTCTGAAATCATATGGTTGTTTTAGGACGTGAAACCCCAACAATTAATAAATTGTTTTGAGAAGTTAAACCTTAACAATTATGAATTATCACCAAACCCTACAACCAGAGCAACGTCTCCTGTTGATATGTATTTCAGTGTTTTCTTTCTCATATGATAGAAACACGCATTAGCATTAATTTACATTCACATATCAATTACTAATGTTAACAGAACCACAAAATAATCGTGTAGCATGGACTGAGCGTGCAAGCAGCTAAAGCAAATGTTGGACTCACTGAGCACGCGCAAGCAGCCAAAGAGAAGAAGTGTTGGACTTACAGGTATAATTTGGCCGATGACACCGATAGGCTCACGACGTGTGTAGGCAAATGTATTTCCGTCTGCGCAAAGGGGAATGATGGTCTTAGAATGACGACACGTGGTTACAGTACTCAAATAAAAGCGCACGAAATTCACAAAAAATAGTGGTGACAAAGCTAGTTGCAATTATACGAGATCACAGCAGATTCCACCAAACACTTTCCGCCCATTATATAACTATACTCACACGCACAAACATTTTTGAACGAATCTGCACACATCCTTTAAGATCCTGTTCAAGCATGGCCACTCGATGAAAAACACACTTTTTCATCGAGCGGCTGTAGTTCAGGCGTAGTACTTATCACCAAAGCCACAAGACATGTAATGCGACATTTTTCCATTTTTACGCCATACATTTAATGACCAAACAAAACAAAGTTGTTACACGACATCGGCAAAGACAGAGTATCTGGTAGACGATGAATGCGATCGCGCTCGTGTTGTTGTTGCTGTTGCTCCTCCATCTTGGCTGCAGCTGCCTCCGACTCTCCCTGTATATTTTGTAAATATATTTATTTCATTCATGCTCTCACCCACGTGACATTTGGTGGAGATGCTGGGTAACAACACGATACAACGGAGCTCCGCAGGGGTCTACGCTTGAATTTTTTCCTCGTGGCAAACCAGGAACCCACTCCCGCCAACGCGACCACAACAGCAACTGTTGTCCTTCCGCAGCTAAAAGATCCTGGCGCGTTCTGTGGCACTGATGATGTCGACATTCAAGAATGGTTGCCATTTTACAAACGTACAAGTATGAATTACCCCTGGGATGAAACTCTTATGTCAGCCAACATCCTGCTCTACTTGAAAGGAGCAGCAAAAATGTGGTTCGAGAACCACGAAGCAGAAATTGGAAGCTGGGATGGGTGCAAGGAAAATATGCGTGCCCTTTTCAAGTCTGTGGGTAGAAAGGCAGCGGCCGAGAAGGAGTTGGCCTCTCGTGTGCAAACGTCCGCGGAGTCTACAAGACTTACCTACAGGACGTGTTCGCCCTCGGCTGAATTGCAGACAATGGCATAGAAAAAACCGAAAAAATAGCACACATATTGAAAGGTATCGCAGATGATGCGTTCAACCTTCTCGTAAGCTAGGACTGCAACACGGAGGATGCCATCATCAAGGAGTGCAAGCAATTTGAAGCCGCAAAAAGTCGACGTATCGCCCACCTTTTCACTCGACTTCCAAACACAGCCGCAACCTGGTCGTGCGAAGACGGGCCTGCACTACAGACGCTGTTAGCTGCAGAGCACGTGACCAAGATCATCAGACGTGAACCTGAAGTTCTGTCTCTTGCGTCCACATGCTATCATGCCTGTGACTCTAGCCCTTAGATGGTGCCACTTGTACATGCCATTGTGCGACAAGAGCTTTCCCATGCTGGACAGGCCTCCGAGTGCACTACAGCTCCCTCTCAGCTGATTGACCATCGTCGACGCCCTGTTTCGTATGCCCAAAGCCAAAACCTTCCGGTCACAATCCAGCCAAGTGGAGGACTGCTGACGATCGTCCGTTTGTTTCAACTGCCATCGCATCAGACACGTGGCCCGCCATTGTAACACCCGGTGGTATTGGCATCAGGCATCCTATGGGTATACCCATTGTCCAGAGAGGAATCATGGACACCTTCAACCTCATCGGGAATCACCTCAGGCCACCGGTGATGACGTTCCTTCTATACCACCATATCATCGTTGTTCTCCATCTCCACATGCTAACCAGTCCCGTTCACCGCTCTTCCGTCGCCTGTCGTCTTGCTCCCTCTAATTTCATCAAGCAACGTCGCCGACTGGCCACCTGCCGCGAGAAAACTAGATGATGCAGCTCTCGGAGGTGATGCTACATCAACCCCTTGCCTGCCAAATCTACTGACCATGCTGCCGACTAGACGCAACCTTATTGACGCTGAAGTAGGCGACATACCCATTGTTGCTGCACTTGTGGACACAGGGCCTACCATATCAGTGATGAATTAAGAACTTCTTTGCCGCCTAAGGAAAGTTCTAACGCCACCCACAGTACCACTCATCCAGGTCGCTGGCGGTGGCACGTTTCCCGTACTTGGAATGTGCTCCGCGCGTATAAAATGTTGCCGATCGCTCCACGACAGTACTATTTGCTGTGCTCGAGAAACATTTTCACGAACTTATCCTCGGCATGAACTTTTTATCCGCCCGCTCTGTGCCCTTATTGATTGTGGAACCGGCATGTGGAACCGGATGTCAGGGTCTTGCTGCTCCTGCGGTGGTTTCGCTCACATGACAAATCGCAAAACTGGTATGGTATGATATTACTGCGTATGATGAACATAAGTGAAAGGCCCTCACGTGGAAATCATGACATGCGTGTCATGTAAGAACATGACTACATGCCACGTCCATGAAGCGCCTGCGGCCGTTTCGCTAGCGTCACATATGCCAAATTCGGTATTACAGTACGTGAATGGTTGTCAAAGGTATATGACTGGTGCAAAAATGATAATCATGAGATGCGTGTCATGTAACAACATCACTACATGCCGTGCTCACGATGCGCTGGCGACCGTTTCGCTAGGTTCTCTTTCACCAAATTTGGTATTACGGGACGTGAATGGAATACGAAGGTATGATACTGGTGCAAACATGATAAACATCAGATGCATGTCATGTAACAACATGACTACATGCCACGCTCGTGATGCGCTGGTGACCATATTGCTAGCTTCACATGTACCAAACTCGGTATTACGCTACGCGAAAGGACGACATAGGTAAATGACACATCCAAACATGATAATCACGACATGCGTGTCGTGTAACAACATGACTACATGCCACACTGATGATGCACTCGCGGCTGTTTTGCCAGCTTCACATATACCAAATTGGGTATTACGTGACACCAATGGATTACAAAGGTATGTGACTGGTGCAAACATGATAATCACGCGATGCGTGTAATGTGAGAACATGACTACATGCCACAGTCAAGATGCCAATACATTTCAACGTGACGCGGTGCGCGTGCTCGCTGGCGTTAATTTCGACGTGTCACGCCGGCTTTGAGACACCAGGCGCCGGTCCTGCCATATACACGCAGGCACACAACGCGCTACCTTGCTTTGACGCATGCGCGTTTCAGCGCGTCCTGCGTCCCCCCGTCACGAAAAGAGAGAGACGCAGTGTTGTTTGGGTAACGTATTGGCCTGAAATGCAGCATGTCGCGTTTCGCGCTGGTTGCCATCGGGTAGCGCCTGGTGTCAGACTACACAGTGCTCGCGTTTTGCTAATGAAGCGTCGCTATGCACAGCGTGCGCGCGCGTCAATGCTGCTTTGGAGTATATTGGGCCCTTCATGATGGGCTCGCAGCCCTTTTGCTAGCTCCACATATACCAAGTTTGGTATTACATGACGTAAATAGACGATGAAGGTAAATGGCACGCCCAAACATGATAATTATGACATGAGCGTCATGTAAACATGAATGCATGCTACACTCACAGCGTGTACGCTGCCCTTTCGCTAGCTCCACATATACTAAATTTGGTCTTACGTGACGTCAATGGATGATGACATATATGACTGGTACAAACATGATAATCCTAACACGCGCCATGTAAGAACATGTCAACATACCACGCCCATAGCGTGTACACGGCCCTTTTGCTAGCTCCACATGTACTAAATTTGGTATCACCTGACGTGAATAGATGACGAAGGTAAACGACACATCCAAACATGATGATCACGACACGGAAGTCATGTACGGCGTCATTTGCATCCACCTCGCAACAGGCTGATTTTCAATTTAAAGTGACATATCAACATTTGTCATTCGTGCTTTGCATATCGATTCCCACTACACGTGGGATTTGCCAATTTATTATTATTATTATTATTATTATTATTATTATTACCTGGGGTTTAACATCACACAACCACCATATGATAATGAGAGACGCCGTAGTGGGGGGTTCCAGAAATTTTTGACCGCCTGGGTTCTTTAACGTGCACCTAAATCTGAGCACACGGGTCTACAGCTATTTTTGCCTGCAGCTTGTTCTTTTAAAAATTTCGGTATGAGAAAAATGTTATTAAAACCTGATTAGAGGCCTGTTGTGAAGGGCTTGACTTCACTTGGAGATTCTTCCAACTTTTTATGCAACTTTTAAAGGGACCGAAAACCAATTTTACAGCAAAAGATGTTATGAGATCACAACTTCGGTCACGCGCAGTGCAGTAGTTGTATGCCACCAATGTCTGTAACCACTTCGCATATAAAAAAAAAAGACAAAAAATCTAGTGCCAAGGACACAGTGAAGCTCTAAGCCCAGTCCACTGCGTGCCAGCCCAGTATTCTACCACTGATCCCCCCCGGTGCTTTGGACTTGTTCGCAAACCAATTGCCTTAGGCAGGCTTAGATGTCGGGAAAGAAATCGCGGTAATATGAGTAATAAAGCGTTTTAGAACAGGAAAACAACAACCAGACGTCAAACAATGAGAATAGCGTAACGAGTGGGTCGTCCAATGCTCCAACCCATTACAAAAGCTTGTACTTGATCATCTATTAACTGTGGCGCATACCCACTTCAGGCACAATTCTTCATTGTCGTCAGCCAAATAAAGGATTGGGACAAAATATCTTGCTAAAATCATACCACTGCTTAAAAAACAAGGGGCTAGATATAATATAGACTATGTAAGACCAATAGCATTAACATCAAATGTAGTGAAACTTATTGAAAGGGTCCTCCATGATCGTATAATGAGATTTGTAAATGACTAACAGCTGTTAAGCCCCAGCCCAATTGATTTTAGATCTGGACATTCAATTTGGAATGCGCACATAGACCTCGAAAGTCGGGTTCACATTTCCCTGCATAAAAAACAGTACGCTGCGTTATTTACCTTAGACATTCAGTAAAGCATAGGATAGTGTCGAACATTCTGTGTTATTAAATCGTTTATGGTGCCATAGACTTCCCTCTTATATCGTAGCATAGGTGACAGAATTTTTAAAGGAAATGATTTGATTGAT